TTTACAGGAAGCGAAGACTTATCCGCCGTGGAGATGCATTGAAGATGTAAATTATGCAAACAACCACTGCAGGAAATATTCTTCTGACGTCTTTTGATGAAAGAATTGCACACTCCACACAAAGTTCCATTTGAGTTAGGTCGAGGATGTAGGTTTATATCATTTCAGAGAAGCAAAGCAATACTGAAGAGCTACCATTTCACAGGGATGCCTCTCGTGTAATATTTAGCTCTTGAGTTCGTCGCTTTTAAGTCCGAAGCGGTAAATCTGGCCAAAATTTCCTGCCCGAAGAAAGGTCGTGCGCTCGAGAAAGATCCATAAAAAATTAGCTGAGCACCAATTTCATCTGAATAGCAAGGTATACAGCAAGAAGGAGTTGACAGGAGTTTGAAAAAGCAAAATAGCTGAAGAGCCAAAAATAACCCGCTAACCGCCATCGTCCTCACTTGTCCTCAATTATTGGTGCCTCCTTTTCCTAACCTTTTACCTCATTAACGCGTGCATACAGTTTTTTTTCTTTTACTGTTTTTGTTGTGGCTTTTATTTTGCCATCAAGATTTCGAATGTGGATAATGCACCGGATCCGGAGATCATGTTGGCCAACAAATTCTGTTACGTGTGGCTTGAGCTCTCTCGGGAAACATAATATTGGATATGAAATTTCCCTCATAACAGTTCACTTCTGAGAATTCAATACTGCTCCTTGGCCAGCTTCAAACAGCTTCAAACAAATGGAATAAAGATAGTTGGGATCAACTTGGTTTCCTGAGCATTTTAATGAGACCAGCCATATCAAAAACATTGCCGTTAATTTTATTTGCTTTTTCTTTGTTCGACGGTGAAAATTGTGAGTTTGTATATGTCTCCAACAAATAATAGCACCTAGACACATTTGAAGCCCGTTATTGTTTCGCTGTCACTTTGCAAATTGCATATTTTGCACTCCTACGTTTCGAGAGGCATTTTACTTTGAGTAGTACGTTCGCTGATAACAACCTTGCTTATAAATCGGCTCCAATCTCTTCCTTTCAACTGTCATAAGAGGAAACATTACATCCAACGTTTTTTTCCTTTGAAAGCTCAAGCCACACATCACAGGATTTGTCCGGGGCCTACAAATTCTCCGGATCTGGTACATCATCCACATTCGAAAGCTCACTGGCAAATTAAAAAGCCACAACAACGACTGTAATAAGAAAATAATGTCTCCATGCGGTAAATGAGGTAAGGGGTTAGGAAAAGGAGGCAGCAAGCGTCATGGAAAGGTTCTACGCGACGAGATCCAGGGATTCATCGAGCCAAGAATCCGACGGGGTGGGGCGGTGTTAAGTGCATTTATTGGGCTTTACTTCAACAAGATCCGAGGAGTCCTTAAGCGTTTCGCGGGAAATTGAAGTCATTCTTAGTCGCCGTCAGTCTTACGTTTAGCCACTTTCTTTTTTCGTATTTGATGTAATTTTGTGTTTCAACTCCCTGTAAAATATTATTACATCTATTGAGATTTCTGTGAGATTAGAAGTGTAACCAGGTTAGTTTACCTTCCCTCGGGGTATCATGCTGCTGCATAAGATGAGGAATACGTTTCCACATATTTTTTGGCCACTTCTTAAGAGTGGTTTTTTGGCGGTTAGCACAGGTTGGAACCATTCATTTTCAATTGTGCACACGTTAAGATTGTATCACGATGCGTTTAGCTGACTGACTCATCCTTAATAAACTTTCCAAATGGAATGTCTCGTCTGGCGGTAGTGAGAATAAACAGTAAGGCACACGATTTTTTGTTGATTTATTCATGTGCCAATGAATTAATAAAGTTAAGAATTGAATAGTGAGGAAAACATTTACAAATTTGTTTCGATAATGAGCGGTTACAGTTTTTTAAAAACGAATTTGAACTTGAACACCGGAAACTGTAAAGAAAGATGATCGTTAACCGCGTTATCATGGAAGGTGTAAATGAGGATAACTTTCCAGCGTGGCGCGAAATTTAAAATAGACTCACGGGAATAAGTTCTCTCAGTTCATATTCTCTCGGCCGAAAATATATTTACATAAGGGAGGCAAGCTGTGAAAAACGTCAGAAGCTACTTGGATCGATTTGAGCGAGGCTGTTTGGTAAACTGTGCCATCTTATTTTTTTGGCGGACGTGAAAAAAAAGTTAAGGCAAGCATTCAGCTTTATAGTTGTAATATCTTCAATGGGATAATTGAATTTGCCCTCATTGAGACTGTAAAGCTACTCCGAACGAACAGTAAAACAGTTAACTTTCGACTGTTGCCAATGTTATTGCAAAATGTGAACAATCACATTAGGCAAATAAAAAGTGCCAAATTTTCTGTTACATACGTTGAAATATTTTCATAACGAATTTAGTGGCTTTTTTTTAGCAGTTATAGGAGACGCATTTTCTACTATAGTTCTGTTATGCCTTTTCTTGTAAACTCTCGGGCACAACAGTCTTTTCTGCCATTGCTTCAAAGAATTTTTCTCCCAACATCACTGAAACATTTATCGACAATATTTATTGGAACTCGGAACTAGATTACAAGCTCGCATGACTCCGTTCAGCCAATCAGAAGGAATGAAAGTCGATAACCGTTCACTAATGATAGTGAATTGATGCTTTACGACGGCGAATGGTGCCTAATGACGGTTCCCAAGTGACGGCAATCCCAAACATGTAACTGCCACTATATGATCATGACTCAACTGGAATTACATACTGTTATGGTCCAAAGGACCTTACTGGCCCAGATTACTGAAATGTTAGAAATTATGGGACTGGCGAAAATAACTAATATGGTTCAAAAGACCCACAAGCACAAATGACGAAGAAAGCCGAAATCACGTAACCAAATCACGTAACTGAACGACATCTCTCGGTTTGATTGATTATCTTTATTTCTGGTAATTTCCAGTAAAGCTCAACAAATTTCGTGTTTACCTCGATGTGAGAACCTGTAATAGTTTTCTTTGTTTAGTTACTATGCCGAGGATAAGCCCAAACTTCACGTTTTCTTCTACAAGCGAAACAAAGACGAAAAGCATTCTTGTTTTTTTCTTGGCTCGTGCTTGGTAATTAATGAACCATGATTACAAATTTATATTTAAGGTTATAATCAGATACAATGAATACATGAAGTTCATATATTTGCGGTATTAGATACGTATGATGCACGATCCTCGCAGTAGAGAGCGCTATTTATGCAATAGCGAAAATCAGACCTGAAAAAAAAAAAAAAAAAAAAAAAAAA